GAAATTTTCGAAAAAAGAATTTTCAATATTTTCCTCGTACTCCCCAAGGGAGCATCTATCACCCCTTAAAAGGAATGACGCCAATTTTGAATCACCCTGTATAGAGCTTTAAAAGGGCCACATTTGAAAATTAGTTTCACCTACTTACACAAAGTGCCTCCCAAATTGTTTCATTCCAAATTTTAAAAATATCTTGAATTTTTTTGTGGTAGGTGGGACAAATTGGACCCATTTAAATGGGAACCACCTTGGAGCTTGAGATTGTATGCCTGTGTCACACTCAGAAAAACCTATTTGTTTGCTCGTGATATAAAGGCTGGAATAAGGTGGGCTTATTCCCCCGATAATTTCCCTACACAAACGACCGCCACCGCCACCACCAAAAGGAAAAACTCACCACTAGGAACATTCGATTGAAGAGATCGCCTACCGCGCCTCTGATGCGAGGGCTGTAGACCAGGAGCACTGACCGCCCTCTTGGGCTGAGTGGGCATCAGCCTGGTGATACCGGGCGGGCGATAACGCGCACTTTTCACGTTCTGAGCCAAAAACTGCTGGCTCTGAGCCTTCTGCAGCGCCGCCACTGAGGTGGTGGGCAATCGCGGCAACGAGTTGGTGGTCTGAGGCCCGCACTGCATGCTGCGTGGAAGAGTGGCGCGGTTCTCCATGTCATCGTCTTCGTCTTCGCCATCGGCAGAGGCGCCCGATCCACACGAGGCCGCGTCTGGAACACTCGACCGCCTCCGGTTCGGTTTGGTGGCGGTCGCCACCCACAGTTTGTCTTCCGAAGTGCCGCCCCCGATGCTGCCGCAACTCCGCACCCTGTCCAGCTGCTCCCTGCTTAACGACTTGTGGCTGAAGAGCAAATCGCCTGCCGATCGGCGCTTGGCCGCAATGGCCAGGGCCGAGGCGGAGGCTGAGCCTTCTCCTCCGATCAGCGAGAGTCGGTTGCGGGAGTCAGTAGCTAACAAGGCGGACTCGAAGCTGCCCCGCCAAGAGAACCGCTCGCAGTCGCTGGCCTCCCGTTCTTCCGATATCTCCGAAACGCCACTGATCGACTGGTGGAGGTTCTTGTTGGTCTCCATCAGCAGGTCATGCGACCTGCTCCTAGGCAGCAGGTTGTAGCTTGATCCTGAACCTTCGAGGAAAGTGTCTGGCAGGTTGGTGTCCGAGGTGCTGTCTTCATCAGTGGTGGTCGAGGCGCTGCTTAGTTTCTGCTGCAGCCTGCGATGGTAGTTGCGGCCCTTTGGGCTGTTGGAGGCGTGGCTTTCCCCACTGGACACTTCATGCATCAGGGCCACCAGGCGGCTCCCAATGTGGTGCATCACCTTGGCGATCAAGGGCGGCGAATTGGGGCTGGCCGGCCTTTCTTCCACCGCCATCTTCTCAAAGCTGGCCACCAACTTCTGGTAGACAAACGCCGTTTCTTTGTTCAGGCCGTGCGTTTCGTCCACAATGCCGCCGTCGCCAGCATCGCCCTCCTCATCTTCGACCCCATTATCGAACTTGTTGATAATCTGCTTGCAGCTGTCGGAAATCTGCTGTTGGAGCGCCGACTTCGTGCACGCCCCCTCCAGGTCGCTGCTGGTGTAGTCGCTCGAATCATACGAGTCACTCCACGTGTCTTCACTGCTCAGATATTCAACAATCTCCCGCACCTGGTCGTCCCGTATTCCCGGCACTGTTTTCATCAACCGCGTCAGCTCGTTCTCGAAATAGACCAACTGGGGTGGTTTGCAGCGGTTCTTTGCGCGAGGAAACGGCCGTGGGGAGGATCGGTTGCTGAGGTTGGGCGTGGAGGGCTTGGAAGCTGACGAGTTGGCCACCATGGTCTTGAAGAACTGCCGCATCTTGCTCATCATCAAGTTGGTCTCCTCATCCGAGCTCCAATTGTTGAAGCTGTCCTTGCGCGTGAGATTGGTGGCGGGCGGTAGGGACCCTGGAATGCTTCTGTCCTTCTGTTGATCATCGGCCCGTTTTTTCTCCTGATTGGCCTGACTATCTGGGGACTTGTTGGCATCGCGCTGGTCTTTCAGTAGGTCATCGCAGCTGCCCACAAAGCCACTGTCTCTGCTTTGCTGGTTTTTGTTGGTTGCTAAATTCGAGGGCGGCACTTCCGGCTGCGGCGTTTCATGCCCGTCCTCTTCCTCCTCCGAGTATTTTTCTTCCTGCGTGATTTCCAGGTTCTTAATGTCCTCCAGGCTGGCCTTTTGCTTCTTGGTCTTTTTGCGCTTCACCGTATCGAACTGGCCGTCCGCCTTCTCGAAGCCCAGCACCTCGTCATAGGTGTCCGAGTCTGAGCTGGAGGAGTCCTCTGAGCTGTTCTGAGCCTCCAGCTGCTGCTCGCTGCCCGCCAGGTCGGGGTTCCCCAGTAGGTTATCCAGGGAATTCGAATGAGACCTTCCAGTACCTCTGGCTCTGACCAGGCGCTTGCGTCTCTGCTCAGGACTGGGTTTGCCTTCGCTGTCGCTCCCCACGCTTCCATCTGAGTCCCGGCGTCCGGCAGTAAATCCCATAAACCCGCTGAGGAAGTACTTTTCCAGCCGGGACGATGCCAGTTCTTCGGGGTTGTCATTCTGGCTGTCTTCAGCGCACCCCAACGACTCCATGCCTTCAGAGTAAATGCTGCTGGTCTCAGAAAAGGCATCCTCGCGGTTGGAGTTGAGGGCCGGCACAGTTCCATCCCCTAAGCCAAAGAAGAAGTACTTTTCCAGATCGGTGGCGCTGGCAGGTCGCTCTCTCCTTGCTTTCCTCGGCGCCTGCTCGACCTCGCTCTCCTCACAGCTCTCCTCCACAATGGTGTGCAGCGTGAAGTCGATGGCCGCCCGATGGTATCCTCTCAGCTCATCTTCCTGATCCACCACGGCGGAGCAGGTGAGCGTGACCTCATCTCCGGAGGAGGAGTTCTCCGAGATTGAGTTAGTGGGGAAATCGTCTTCGTTGTCCTCGTCATCGTAGCTCAGATTCTCCACCCAGGAGTCGTCGTCCGCTAAACCTTCCTCGAACGCACTTAGAGTTTCCGCGGAAGTGATCACAGTCACGCTACTTTCAGGGCTGGTGAGGTTCGGATTGCCTGCAAATAAAGAAAAATGTGTTAAAAACAGGCTCTATTAAGGCATATAATGGCAGAAAGCCAACTGGAAGGTGCATTCATAGAGCCAAAGGCTTTAATAAAGAAAATGTGAAGCACTTTTTTAATGTTTTGGAGGCAGAATTTGAAAACGCAAATGGCCAGCTGCTAGAGCTGATAAGAGACTTCAGACCTAATTCCAATATGTTTTTGCACTTGAAAGCAAGCCTTAAAATCTGCTCAAAGAGATCTTCTCCGGAGGAAATGCCAAGGCTCTTTTAAAAAACGGTGCGCTTTAAAACATAAAAAAACAGGAATATTTTATCCATGCTTGCTGCAGAACCAGAAAATTTTGAGAAGCAAAGAAAGGGCCTCGAAGAGGAAACGCGCCTGGAAAGGCTGAAGTTACAACATCTCCATTTAGGTTTCTGGAGGATAGAAAAGCTGAAAAGTGGTTTGAATGCATTTTAAGTAGAGTGGTGCCAGTCGACTCTCCGTAATATGAAACTAATAAATTAATATGCGAGTTTTCACACAAAACGAAACTTTTTGATCTTTCGAAAATTCTGAATCCCAAGTTAATTTTGAGTGCAAATTTTCAAATTGATTTAAAGCCTTCATAAAGTTTCGTTCAATGCATCAGTTTCGCACAAAGCTTGGACAAATGCGTGAAAAAAGTGAAACTAAATTCGTATTGACCTTATACACGACGAATGGGTTCGGAAGAGAAAGTTTTCGTTCAGATTTAAAGCAGCAGAGTTCTACCATAATGTGTAAACATACTCATGAATACTAGATCGTTTATGGGCGGGGGTTCAACTAATTGCTAATTAAAAAAGGGAAATTTATTCATTGCTTCTGATTTTTTTTTGATAGGCGGATGTGATCGCAGATATTTCGGTTTGGATTCGAGCGAATTGTTGGCTGCTCTCAACACGCAAAACTTTAAAACATGTTTTTTCGGTTGATCCAAAAGTTATGCAAATTAATACAAGCTTCTACAACTGTTCTATTTTCCCACATATGGATACTTTCACGCTCCAAAAATGATTTTTACATTTTTACACAAATACAAAAATAATATCATTATTCCATGTAACTGCAAAAGTAAAAGGAGGTTTACAAAACAGATTTTTTTTACGACTTTAATCATACGTAATTCAGTTAATGATTCCTATGTGACAGAATTTATAATTCAAAGCAGTGAATTTGAAAAACTGCATAACAAAAAAGTGAATTACCATAGAAAATAACCAATTTCTGACCAAAACAATTGTAAATTTATCCAATAACTGGTGTCAAAAAACTCGATTTTTCGATGAAATTTTTCACCGAATTACACCAAAAAAACGTTCAAAAGTCACACACAAATTTTGTTAAGATTTTTGTCTCAAATTTGCCCGGTAATAATGCTTTAGTTCAGTGATTTCCTTACTTTGGAGTGAGGATTTTTACGCGAACTGTTCAATAGCGCACTTTATCAAGTCAACTGGGGTTAAATCGGGAGATTTGCTGGCTTGGAGTGGAAAATTTTCAAGCAAATTCCTTAATTGCAGAAAAAAATACTTTCTGATGCTATTTAATTAGTTTGTCACTTTTTAAATTGTTTTTTGCTTGCGTTTTAGTATTTTATTCGTTTAATTCGCAATGTTTGTGGTATTTTAATCGAGATTATAACTATTTGGATCGTCGGATGATAAAATCGACATCGAAAACAAACCTACGACAATGGAAAAATGCGTCTTCACTCTCCACAATCGATTGGTTTAAATGAAACCTTGTGAAGAGCGAGGAGAAATCACGCGTTTTTTTCCTTTAGGATGTGATTAAACGCCAACGAAAAGACAAAGAAAAAAAGCGAGCGTATAAAATGTGAAAGTACAAAGAATTCACAGGTATAGGAGGAAACGGGTATTGCACCGAGCAGCGTTCGACCTCCGTTGAAAATGAAAAATCGAACGCTATCATTGATATTTAAGTAGAAAAAAATGGGAAAACAATAGCAATCCAAGTGGTTTTTATAGAAAGTGGAATTCCTTGCAAATGTTAGGTGCATTCGTGCATGTACCCGCTAAAAATCGAGCAAAAAAAACGCTGATTGGTTAATGCTTTGGGAAAAAGTGCATAGTGTTATGCAATCGACGGTAAATAATAATTTGTATAATAATTAACAAACCGAACGGATGGGATGGTTGGCAGCAAAGGAAGAAGCTTATCAGTTCAGAACCAGTGATTTTGAAATTTGTCTACCTGAGTGGGAGGGTCATTTTCAAAAAATTGCCAAACATTGACCAAAATCGGCATGCAAATAATATTTGCTGTGTTAGTAGAGCGAAGTGTCTGCTATTCAACAAATGATTGCGCAACTTTCCATATGCTCTACTTTTTGGAAAAATCAAAGTCGAACACAGTGTGGTTAAATAAGATATTTCTGCTCTAGCTGGGAGTCATTTTCAAAAAATTTGTGAAAAATAGCCTAAAATTCGAATACAAACCAAATTTACTATGTTGGTAGAGGAAAGTGTGCTTTATACAAATGAGGATTGAGGAAGTTTGTCCAAGAACTGGTTTTGGAAAAGATAACTAATGAAGACAGTGGGGCAAAATCAAGTAGGTAAAATTTCCCTAAATGGACATCCAAATAATATTTGCTGTGTTAATAGGCTGAACTTTTCTCTTCTCTATTAAACAAAGG